GTGTCTCTAGGTGGCTGTCCGGTGCACTTCTGCCAGGGGCATATAGGAGGAGTTCTGTTTTGAGATTTCTTGGAAAACTTTTGCCTTCCTGATGCAGGAGTCACCCTTTCTGTCTTCTCCAATTTCTGCCTTGAAAGCAAATGCAACATCTAGGCTGCAGCAGCCATCTTGCCACCACGAGGGAACAACTGAAGAGCAAAGCCAATATACTCAGGTGGTAAAGCAGATTGAAAGAGCCAGGGTCGCTAGCAGATTTGTGTTTTAGATAGTCGAATCCATGCTTGTAACAACTGACTTCTAGATATGTTAAAAAGAATAAGCTTTTCTTTTCAAACTACTATTGCCAGGTTTTCCGTTCTTTGCAATTGTCTCTTTTCCGAGCTAATACAGGCAGTTTCCAGTGTCCTGCACTGTGTGGTCAGTGGTGCAAACCAGCATGTCCAAGCCAGTGGTGGGAGCCGCGTCGTCGAACCAGTTCTGCAGCATGGCTTCTGCTGTCACTCCTTTTTCTGACCTCTTGAAGATTTCAAAAGCCACATAACTTGTCTTTTAATACATTTGTTTTTCCTGCTTATATTCACCAAAGTTTTTTAAAAAAGACAAAGTCATTAGGGTGGGTCCTAATCCAATACAGCTGGTGTCCCTATGAAAAGAAATTCTGGACACAAAGATGCACACAGAGAGAACACTGTGAAGACAAAGGCAGAAACTGGGGTAAAAAAAAAAATGTAACCAATGTTTATTTCTGTTGCTTGCTATCAAGAATCCTAAGAGATTCAGAAATTGATACCAGCTGTGGTGGCAGCACATACCCTTAGGGAATGAGGAGAATTTGAGACTGATAATGTGGTCTGATTAGATCTAAGGACAATAAAAATTCAAGCAGTATTAAGATAGTTCAGGACACAAATGACCCCTGTGGTCACTTGCAGAGAAGGTCACCAGTACAGTGAAGGCCCAGTGAAGTTAAGGCATTGAGAAACCAAGAGACAACGTGAGGCACAAAGACTCAATCCAGAACTGTGGATGGAGGTGGTGATACTAATGGCTGGAAAGCTTAAGAAGTGAACAAGTGGCCCAGGCCGGTTTGGTTCAGCGGTTAGGGTTATGGGTTTGAGTCCTGGTCAAGGGCACATACCTAGGTTGCAGGTTCGATCCCCAGCCCTGGTCGGGGTTGTGCGAGAGGCAACCAATTGATGTGTCTTTCTCACATGGACCTCTCTCTCTTTCTCTCCCTCCCTCTCCCTTCCTCCCTCCCTTTCTAACTAAAAATCAATGGAAAAATGTCCTCGGTTGAGGATTAACAACAACAAAAAGAAGTGAACAAGTGAACCGCAGGGTCTTGAATTCTGGTTTAAGTCTGAAAACCAGGGACTTTCACTGACTGTAAAAAGAATATCTGACCTTTTGCAACTGCACTAAACCGAAAGGGAGATCTGTGGGTTCCTGATTCACAATATCTATTAGCTTCACAACCTCCTCTTGTCCCATTGAAATTAGGGAACTGACTGGAAAAGGTGAGCATCAGGAGGCTCTGACTGGGGACATGTGAGACAGAGGACGCACAGCGTACAAAGTTTCCCTTCTCCCTGTACAGACACTGTTCCTTACTTGTTTCCAAACCTATCATGTTCTTGCCCCAGGAAGTCACTTTGCAAGGGGGAGAGCAAGTTCCTTTATACCCACCTCTTCTCTCTGTCTTCAGACCAAAGCCATTGCTAGATACTAGCATGCACTACATGTTATAAAACCAAACCTGGACAGAGGAGACTTTTATACCAGAGAAACTGCAAGATTTTGCTCTTTCTCTTGGTAAAATCTTGGGAGTACACATGGGAAACAATACTGAGGGTGCTGAACCGGGGAGAGACAAACAGGATGTTGCCTTCCCAAGACAGTGTAGCTCAGCGTACTTCCTGGAGCTGATGGCGGCGTGGTGCTGACCCCTGTCTTGCTTGATTGGTTGAATGAATCCTGGTGGCCCACACCAAGAAAACTCCAGGTGACTGAAATTTTTGGCTAATGTAGGAGCAGGAATCTAAGGAAACAGGAATGTTGGTGTGGATATATTGTGTAAGACCAATCGTCTAACCTGTCCCACGAGGGACCAGGAGATACTTCATCAAGGCATTGAGGAACACAGCGCCTCCACCTCTCAAAGGGACTGCCATGGCTATTTATGTACATCAGGGGTGCTATGGAGAGCTGCTGACATTAAATAGACCCCCTTACAGTCACCAGGATCCTAGGTGTCAGAGGCCAGCGGGGCTGCAGCCACCAAGAGAAGTGAGGTCATCTCAGTAGAAGTCATGGTGACCATGACCATTCCCAGGGCCAGTCTGGGGATCAGAATTTTCTGCACATCAGGTAGCTTTGACAAAAGAATTGATCATGAGCCCCAGGACCAAAGTAGATGGGCAGCCCTGTGTGGTCCACATAATCCATGTGATGGAAGCAGACCTAAAGCTCTCTAGGTCTGACTTAGGTCATCAACAGACAATCTGGTACCCATAGCAATTCTTACACCTAAACTTGCATGGTACAGGAGTGGAAAATTCCTACAACATCCCTACTTAACTGTCCAGTTGATGGAGAAGATTCACAGGTCTGGAAGAGTGGCCACGGGTTATCGTAAACATAATAAGGTGGTGATGCCAATATAGCCCGTCAAGGAAAATGATGTTTTCTCATTCCCAGTAAGCAACACATTGCAAAAGCTGCTTTGTCTCATCTGGCAAGGATGGCTTTCCATCCTGCTTCAGAGTTATGTCAACTCTGGCGCCAAGCCACAGTTTGATCTGTGGAAACGGTAATCACCTTGATGTTGCTTCGGACATACATCACAGTGGTGATCTCATGCTATGAAAATCTCAAGACCAAGAATAGTAGTTACTCTTGGCGTTAGTAAGAAACATGGAAATTGTGTGAGAAATGAATCTATAGGGGCTATGACCTTAGAGAGTTGTTTAGGGGTCCATAATCTAGGGGGAGAAATCGCCTCTGAAGTGAAGGATGTGCTGTTGCACCTCACACCACTGACCACAGAAAAGAGAGATACAATGCGTGGAGGTCCTCTTCATGAAAGCAGCATTTGTCATAGCCTGGGCCTCTGATGACAGACTACATTCTTTCAGTATAATGAGATAGAAAGATAGTTGTGGATGTCCAAGCAAGCACAGGGAAGACATTGGTAAACAACACACAGTTTCTATCCTAAGAAAACGTCCAAACAAGGGGAGTGACTGACAATTATGCCAGGATGCTTTGTAAGTACACAGTGCCGCACCTAGCAGAGGCCTGAGTGGGTGATGGGTGGCATCGTCTGGGAAGAGTTCCTGGAGGAAGTGACTCCCTTACAGACGAGGATTTGTTCGGTATTTGGAGGGTAGTGTGGAGAGAGTCTTCTCGGTGTGGGGAGTTAGAGGTCAGGTGGGTAAGCTAAGGTAGGAGTTTGGACTTCATCCTCAGCACAAGGGGGCAGGTGAAAGGGATGTAAGCACAGGAGTGACATGGTCAGATTTCTTCTTTAGAAAGAGCATTCCAGTTGCTCTGTGCAGAATGGACTGAGGGAACAAAATCGGAGGTGGGAAGACCAATTCCATCCTTTTTCTTTAAATAGTGATAGGGAGAGAGGGGACAGGTAGAGGAACTAGAAAAGGAACTTGATACTCAAGGCACACTTGGCCCTCATGAAGCACCGGAAACATACTTGGAGGGTGTAAATAATCGGGAGGAAAAGTGGGGCTGTGTCCAGGCTCCCAGAGGCCCCTTTTAGGAAAAAGACCAGTCAGGTAGGAAGTTGACTACAGATATATTTTCTTTTACTGAGCTTCGCTTTATCAGGCTTCACAGGTTTTGTTTTCTACAGTCTGAAAGTAAGACTCTCCGCAAGCTAAAAGATTAGCACTGGAGCCAAACCGGCAGTATCTCCAAGGTCGGCCTTTCTTCATCTAACACGACAAACGAAATCACAGGACTCGGGCCCCTTTCTTCTGTATCCCCGAACTGCTCACCTGGAACTGCTTTCAGAAGCAGCTCAGCGACCCCTCCTTGCGCAGAGCGCTCTACCCCAGTACCCCCAGGGTAAGGCTAGAGAAGCGCCCTGGGGCGTAAATGCAGCCAACCTCACCACCTCTGAGCAGCCACCCACTCCACAGCCAATGAGGGGTTCGTTGGTTGGGCGGAGGGCCCATGGGCGGGTTGGATTGAAATGGGAGGCAGGACCGGAGAGCGGTGCCACTTCCCTCGGAAGTCCTGTGGCTCAGGCCGCAGACGCCCTGCGCTCTTGGGGTCCCCGCTGCGCTGTGGGAGGTGAGGGGAGCTGCGTCCCGGCCACCCGCACTTTGCGCTAGGGCGCGCGGCGCGGGTCCGGGAGCAAACGGGCGCCAGCGGGACCAGGTCTTCCTTCCGAGTTCACAAACTTGACCTCAAAAACACAACTGTGTTTGGCATTTCTGGATTTGGAAATACACATCACCCCAGCATGAGCAGCCACGGAGTCCTAAAGTTCTATTTTTAAAGGAGGGGACTTGCAAAGTGTGTTTCAGAAATAAAATATTTCACTTCTGCAAAACAAGTAATTATAAGAAAGCGCGAGGCGCGGACTTCTGCCTCCGAAGAGGACAAGGCCGGGAGGTCTAGGGGACCTCGGGGACTAGGGGCGCGGAACCGGGGGCTTCGGGGGCACGCGAGGCGGAGACGCGCAGGGCCAGACGCGCGGCACCTGGGGACGCGCGGGGCGGAGACGCCAAGTGCGGGGGGGCGGGGCGCACGGGGCGGAGACGCGCAGTGTGGGGCGGGGCCGGGGCGCACGGGGCGGGGCGCGCAGTGTGGGGCACGTCGGTGGGCGCACAGAGCTGGCCGTGGGGCGCGCATTGCAGGGCGCGCGCGGGGCGGGGGCGCGCAGTGCGTGCGGGGGCGCGCGGGGCGGGGGTGCGGCGCCGCCAATCCCAGACAAAGGCCGCCCCGTAAATCATGTGGTGCCGGGAGGAAGTCAGCTTGTTGTTTTTCCTCCCGCAGCAGGCCCGGGCGGAGCGATGCGCGGAGACCCCCACGGGGGCGGCCAACCCAGATGAGGACCGACCTCCTGGTCGCGCCTCTGCGCCCCCGGCCCGATGGCGGCTCCGCGCTGGGACCCGCTCCGAAACGACTCGCTGCCGCCCACGCTGACCCCCGCTGTGCCCCCCTACGTGAAGCTCGGCCTCACCAGCGTCTACACCGCGTTCTACTCGCTGCTCTTCGTGTTCATCTACTTGCAGCTCTGGCTGGTGCTGCGCTACGGCCACAAACGGCTCAGCTACCAGAGCGTCTTCCTCTTCCTCTGCCTCCTCTGGGCCTCCCTCCGGACGGTCCTCTTCTCCTTCTACTTCAGGGACTTCGTGGCGGCCAATGCGCTCAGCCCCTTCGTCTTCTGGCTTCTCTACTGCTTCCCCGTGTGTCTCCAGTTCTTCACCCTCACACTCATGAACTTGTACTTCACGCAGGTGAGCTGGGCGGGCGGGAGGCACCTGAGAGGACTCGCCTGGCAGGTGGCCCCACGCGGCACTTGGTGCGGGGGCGATGGCAACGCGGGGGCGGGTCGCAGAACCACAGGGCTGAGTGGCGGAAAGGTTCTGGGGTCGTCCGAGCCTGCAGGCCTTTCTCAGGTAACGCCCTCCCATCCTCAAAACTGTTGGAGGACAAGGAGGGTGGAGGCCACCCGTAACTCTGTGCCCTTAGCGAAACGCCATCCGACTGGTGTGGGTCCTCTCCGCGCCGGGCGTGCGCAGCATCTTCGTGCAAGTGTCAGAATAGGTACTGATGGCAGGTGTGCCCACTGGAAGACTTGAACTCTAAAACTCCCCTCCATCCTTTCACCCCGGCCTGGAAAGGTAATCTGCACGTTTGGACGAGACTGACTTTTTTTGAGTGGTAGCAGGTGGAACCGTCCTTGTTTGGATGAGCAGTTTAGAACGCCCCCCCCCCCCCCCCCCCCCCCCCCCCGCGCTACAACTTACTAACTCACTCCCCAGAAGTGCTAAAGAGCAGTCCTGGTGACACCCAGCTCCCTGAGCTGCTGCACGGGGCAGACCCCAAGCACAAGCCTAGAGCTTACTGGGGCGCTTTTACAGGAGTCATTTTATGGGGAGTATTGTTAATAAGCTAATGGGAGAACATGCAGATTGGCTTGGCTGCTGTCACCTTTGAGTTAATGAAAGTAGAGTAATTGTAAAGTACTTTGCAAATGCTGTGTTAAGCACTGCATAAAGTTTAATAACACTGCCACCATTACCATCCTTGTACTCTCTGACTCATGAGCTTTCCAAGCACTGATATGTCCCTTTTCACTAGGACTCTGCCCAAAGGGAAGGCAGCAAGCATGTCACCTGATGAGGGTCATTTAAGAGCTGTCTCATGGGCAGAGACTTGGTGCAAGCAGGCATTCCATTCCTTTTAACAGTGTCTATTTGTCTAGAGAAAGTGTCATTGATTAAAAAAGAACAATAAGCCCTGGCTGCTTTGGCTCAGCAGTTAGAGCATCTATCCATGGACCAAAGAGTCAGGGGTTCAATTCCCAGTAAAGGGCATGTACCTGGGTTGTAGGTTCAATCCCCCGTCCCTTGTCAGGGTCGTTTGGGAGGCAGCCAGTCGATGTGCCTCTCTCACATCGATGTTTCTCTCCCCACCTGCCCCTTCCACTCTGTCTGAAAATTAATGAAAAAATATCAGTGAAAAAATTTGGAGGAAATACTTGTGGCTAAAAAACAGCATATGTACTATTTAGTAGCTGTTATGTAAAAATGGATATACACTAAAGCCTTCTTACTAGTCCTGTGTATCAGCATATTTTCCAGTCCATGAGTAATGTGTGTTATCTCTCCAAATACTACTGTTAAGCCCGAAAACCAGTTCAGGCAGCAGGACCCTGTGCAGACACTCCAGCTTTTTAATTGGATTGAAAGGGTTGGTTCCAGCAAGACACAAAGGCAGGTGGGCTGATGTTACTTCAAGAACTGTGACAACGGTCATACTGCACACTGAGATCTTAATTTGTGTCCCTTTGTGAGGCTGCCATGGCTCTGGTAACCACATGCAGATTCTGCTGGATGAGGGCCAGGCTGCACATTTTTTGCACCATCTGCTCGTTGGGGAGTAAATGCTGATCTAGGGAAAGAGTGACCAGGCAGACAGCGCTCAAGCCCGGAGGCCTCAAGCCATGGCCCTGCCTTCTCTGTGTCTCCTGGTCCCTTGTTCTGTCTCCAGGTGGCTGGAGGACAAGGTGGTGGTACCTTATGTGCTGGCGTCTCGGATGCTGGCAGGACAAAGCCATTCCCAGGCTCCCTGACAAAACTGATGCTCTGGGAAGTCACAAAGGAGTCGCCCTTTGGCTACCAGCTGTGACACCACTCTGTCCCTCTCCCCCCACACCTGCTGTTAGACTTACACAGGTTTCCACCACCAGAAGTGCCAGGGGAGCTTAGGAATTACTGTTGCCAGGCCAGTCTCATAGCAGGTAAATCAGATTTTGGAGGGAGGGGGTAGTAGCTACCAATTAGGAAGCAGGTACCATGTGGTAGACACAGTTCTAAGTGGAATGTCTTATTTATTCTTTACAACAACCCTGTGAAGAAAGTAAGTACAGTGTCCCTATTTTATAGAGGAGGGCCAGAGAAATTAAATGATTTGCTCAAAGTCACAGAGTCCATGCATGGTGGAGCTGTGGTCACCCACGTCTGTGACATCTGAGTGTCAGGCTTATCCCTTATGGTACAGTATTTGAAACCTCTTACTACAGAAAACATACCCTCCTCTGATGTAATACCTGGTTCGTCAGGAGCTGGTTACCAGGGTAGGAATGCAGTTCAGGAATAACTCTAGGGATTTCCAGGGGTCATCCAAGCTTTGGGAGACCTGAGTGGGACCTGCGTCCTCAGGGAAGAGGGGGATTTGCACTAGGTCCTGAGGCCGGAGGACAAGGCATGGAATGAATTGGAAGGGAGTCCCGAGAGGTGGAGGAAGGTTCTTTCTGTGATGGTGACACCCTTCCACTTCCCAGCACCTGGGCCTACCCGCTCACCTCCCTCACGGCCCTGAAGGAGGGTATTGGCACTCTCTGAAGTCTGGAGCCTGGAGACTGCGTGCCCACAGAGCAGCCCGAGTGGCACTGCTGTGAGGCGGCCATGCGTGCCTGTCTGCCATTGCAGCCGCAGTCCAGCCCGTCCAGGGCCTGCGTGCAGGGTGTGTCTTGTGCTCTTAGCCTCTCCCCGTCGTCATCTTTGGAATCTGGCTCTTCTGGGACTGGCCCAGGGAGGGGCAGGATTGTCTCACGTGACTGCCTGTCCATCTCCGGGTCGTGGCTCTGTCTGTGTGTGCCTCTGCTATGTGGCCGTGTGTACATCATGGGGCCGACTTCACCCTCGCTGCCTCCCTCTGTCTGTGTCTCCCTTCCATCCCCACCCCTTTTTCAGGTGGGGCCACACAGGTGATGGGCTGCTGTCCATCCAGTGTCTGCTCCTAGGCTGCCACCTGCCCCTTTTCATTCTCTGCCTGCCCAGGGGCCTTGCCACCTGCAGATCCCAGGCGGAAACAGGTGACACCCTCCAAGTTCTGGGACCCTCATACCTGCCTGGCACAGGTTGGCCTCTGCCAGGACCCTCTGCTTTGCTCTGATGTCTGCACGTGTTGGGCAGCACGTTCCCGGCTGAGCAAGGATCTGCCTGGGGAGCGGAGACCAGGCCCTCCGTCTTCGTAACCCCTGCGTCGGCCTATGGTGCCTTCTCCTCCGTGGCCCGAGGCAAGGGCCAGCATTTCCCACCTGAACACGGCCGCCTGCCCACAGGCTGACGACTTCTCCGCTCTCCTCCTCAGACAGGCTGTGAAGGAGGGAGGTGGTGGCTGGACTGGTTCTGCTGAGTCTCAGCAGGCCCTGTGCACGCGTATGTGTGTGTGCGTGTGTGTGTACGTGTGCATACGTCTGGCCCAAAGGCTTGCAGCTCTCCGGGGAACATAGAGCGTGAGGACCCGTTGTTGCCAGCTCGGCCCTCGTGCCAGTTCCAGGGGACACTTGGCTCCCTGCTGCCCCAGCCGTGGTTGGGCCGAGGCTTGCACCGGCCTTTCCTCCAGGGTCTGACCCTCCCAGCATCGTGTTAATGTGCTTCTTTGATGGGGTTTTGCGTGGGGCAGGACCTGGGGGCCTGAGCATGAGGTACGTGGTGCCCTCTGCCCCAGCCCGTGCCGTGGATGCTGCTCTGTGCCTGGCAGCCCCGGGCAAGCAGGTCTGTGGAGCTGGGCAGAGGGCTGTGGGGTGGCGGGCCATGGGGTGGCGGGCTTGGTGATGCCAGGCAGTGCGTCCCCTGCTGTTCTCAGGATCGAAGGTCGGCCCCAGACTCTTGGGTTCCTGAGTTTGGTTGAATGGAGCGGCCCAGCTTCTCCTTTGCTCAGCCTCGCCTTGAAACCCATGACAGACTCCTGCCGTCACCGAGGGTAGTTTGGGGAAGGGAAGGAGAAGTGAACCCTCTTGACAGGAAGAGGACTGACGGACGTGGTGCAGGAGCCGGGCCTGTGCCCTCCTTAGAGGGCGAGTGGGAAGCCCGAGGGGTTGCTGTGCGGGCTGGGGTGTGTGGTGGGTGCTGGGGCTCACTGTGGGGCTTGGGTTATGATGTGCCAGAGAAGGCCTGTGACTCAGGAGGTGGCCTGGGAATGGAAGAAGCAGGGACCTTGTGGGCAGAGCTGGGTTCAAATCCTGACCTGGTCCCCAGGGTGGCTCCCAGGCCTGTGTCAACCTTCCTCGCCAGGAATATGGCATCCATGGTGCTCACGCTAGCTGGAGTCGGTGAAGGGGATACTTCTGCTTCTCCTCCCCCAGTTAGGCCGCAGCTTCGACTCCTCCCCCTTGGTTACACCATAGCCTCCCCCCCCCCCCTTTAGGCCACAGCCTCGGCTCCCCCCTCCTTGGTTACACCGCAGCCTCGCACCCCCTCCCCCCGTTAGGCTGCAGCCTCGGCTCCCCCCTTGGTTACACCGCAGCCTCGCACCCCCTCCCCCCGTTAGGCTGCAGCCTCGGCTCCCCCCCCCCGTTACACCGCCGCCTCGTTCCCCCCTCCCCCCCGTTAGGCTACAACCTCGGCTCCCCCCCCCCCCCAGTTAGGCTGCTCTTTCTGCATCTGTAGCAGGAGCCCAGGCTCCTGCTCTGACCATCCTGAGGCCCAGTGCCCTGCCTGCCCCACCCCCGTCCTCGGAGCGGCTCTCACCACCACGGGGCCCTGGTGTGAGGCAGTGAGGACGCTGGCCTTCCCGAGGGGGTGAGGTGCCAGCGCCTCGCAGCGCAGCCCGCAGGTCGGGAGTGGAACGGATCAGGAGGTCCAGCAGCCGAGCCTCCAGGGCCTGGAGGATTCTGCCCAAGTCACCAGCCAGGTGGGCAGAGCCAGGCCAGGGCCGGCGCCTTGCTGCCCTCGACACCCCCCTCTTGAACCCCATCTTGAAGTGGGTGCCGGTCCTCACCCTG